AGAGAGAGAGAGAGAGAGAGAGAGAGAGAGAGAGAGAGAGAGAGTGGGTGCAACACAAGGTTTGCCAGGGTCCAGGGTAAAATGAAAAGATGCGCACTTCCCATGCGTAAAGAGGGTGCAAACCAAAGTCAGCATTGCCAAAGTCATGGGGGAAGAGAGAAAAGAACCTACAACCACCATACTTGTGTGAGTGGACAGAGGCAGATTAAAGCTGGCATTTCAGGCCAAGATCAGACTTTCTTTTTCTTTTTCTTTTCTTTTTAACTTGAACTCAGTGATAGGGTCAGAGTTTCAAGACCCTTCCCTACCATCGCTGGCACTTACAACCACTTTCCTAATCATTCCCTGCTTATAGCTGGCAAGTGGGAACCTTCATGGGACAGCAACCCGCCAACTGGCGTGAAAAACAAAAAACAAAAAACGGGACCATGCTCCAATCTATTCGTGGAAAGCAACACGTGCTGGGAATCGGACCCAGCGTCCCTTATGAAAATACCCGAACAATGTGAGCTACCGGGGCCATTGCCCAGCTTTGGCTAAGACCAATCCAGAAGATTCAGCGACCGTGAGCTGTTTGGGATCCTCAGAGAGACTTCACGAGAGAATTCTCTCAATCAAACAAAAGAGCGCTCACAGAACAACTTCCAGCCTCACATGACGAATAGCCAGACTCCGAGAAACAGTGACAGACCAAACCAAAGCCAACCATGGTTATCATGATCACAACTACTCGTCACCCTCTGCCGCAAAGAAGACGGGGGGAGGACCGACCTCTCCTCCCCAGCGAAGAAGACGGGGAGAGGACCGAGTCCAACCGACCTCTTCCACCATGGAGGTAGACTAACCCTTTGCCACTATCTGCCTCCGCCGAGGGTCAAAACCCAATCAACCCCAGACCCAGAATAGCACAACCCAGCACTTCCGTCGACGACACTATCTCCTCAGGATAGGACTCCCTCCCTTACCGACAGCCCTCGTTCACGCCGAAATTTGGGGACCTCTGCGCAGATCGCGTGAAGTCACCCCCGTCCTCACAGAAGAACCCCCCCCCCCCCCCCCCCCTTTACCCTTAAACTGCTCCCGCTGAGAGAAGCCCCCCTTCTCCTCATCGGCCCCAGTTCAGGGCAAGCCCCCTAAACGGTCACCCCTGCTCCCTCAAGGGCGTACAGTTCCGACCAAAAGTTTGCCCCCGTGGAACAGCAGTTCCCCAATGCCCTCCATCCCATCCTCTCTAAATGAGACATCCCACTTTACACCACTCCCGCTATCGGCCCCCGCCAAGGACCCAGGATAGAGCAAACCCACGTATCCGGCAACACCCTCTCTAGGACTACACCTCCCACCTTGTGTAGTCCTCGCAGAGTAGCACTCCCATCCTCCAGGCCAAGAGATCAGTCCCTGAGGGCGATGCTCCGTAAAGACCTTATGGCCTAAACCCCCATCAGAAGGCGAACAAATTAAGGGATTTTCAAAGGATCTTCTCAACCAAAGGCACTCCGTTGATGATGTAGATGATGTGAATGACAACAAGCGCAGAGCGGCGACACAAGATATTACATTAATCTCTACTCGCTGTGTCATCCTAGAGGTACAGAGTATTTATCCACCCTATTGTCAGCTCCCCCCATAGACCAGCAGCCTGTTTACTCAAACACTCGCTTGATTTATGGACCAACAAAACAACAGCAGTTCACACAACCCTACTACTATCAATTACACCGCCCATGGATATTCCTGAGTATTCAGAGAACTTTACTTATCTAAGTAAATGAATCAACCCGCAGAAGTAATTAAAAGCGAGCCATGCTAATGCCACTAAGGACCCTCCTGCTGCCCAAAACAAACCCTCCTGTCCCATCGTTGCCCCCGCAACGGAAAACGAGCCACCCTCCTCCTCATGGCTCCAATTCAAGAACAGGCCTCCACCCCCTTCCCACTCCTTCAACAGAATACAGTTCCCTCCAAAAGTACACCGGCGCAGAGTAGGAATTCCCTTTTACCCTCCATCCCACCCCCAGCCCACTCTACCTTCCCCTCCAAAGCAGGAACCCCTTGCCACGTTTCTGCCCCCGCTAGAGTTGATAGCGGCCCAATAGCGGCCCCCGAGCATCAACCCCAGCTCCAGAAAAGAGCAAGCCCTCTACCTCGGTCCCTTTTCTTTTCGAATACACCACCTCCCACCTTGTGATATCCCCACACAAATAGGACTCCCCGCTTCCAGCATTATGACCGGCTCCGAGGGTGGAATCTAGCAGCTCTTACCGTAACTCTCCCTTCCTGGAATGTCCCGGTAACTCAACCCCACCACAAACTAGTTCACCACCATTACCTTCACATTTGCTGTTTTCACAAGAAAAGAACACACACACACACACACACACACACACACACACACACACACACACACACACACACACACACACGTTTCTCTCTCCACGCCTTCTCTCTCTCTCTCTCTCACACACACACACA